GGCTGAAGGAGAGCAGGTTGGTCTGTCAGCCGCTTCTGGCGTCCCTTTGCCCCGCGGGGCCGCGTCGGCCCTGGGCTGTCCGCGGCGCTGCTGGTACAGTCCAGCACCGGCTGATCCAACTTCCTGGAAGCGTCCAGCACGCGGCTGTAGTGGTCGATGGGGTTTTTGTGCCATACCTGTCATCCTTTCGCCTCCTGCTTTCGCTGTCACCGGTGGAAAACGTTTTCGGATGTTTAGGCATTCGGGTTCGTAAAGCGGAGGGGAACTAGCCGTAGTGCAGCCGTCCTGATCGATCAAAGTTAAAAGCACAGATCGATGCCGGAGATAATGTGCGGTTGGAAAAAAGAAGGAGATGCTACGGAGTGATACTAGGCTGCTGTAAAAGGGTTTTTTACGTTAAAGGAGTGATTAAATCAGTAATTTATCTTGTGCACACACAGCATGAGGAACCATTAAAAAAAGTCTTTTTAGAGATTTAAAGCCCCAGGATGAATAAGCTGAGCTGTTTCTTGGATTTTTTTAGCCAGACTTTGAGATAGGTTGGGGTGAAAAGGATGATGAATTTGTCCAGTCCTTAAATGGAACTGCAAGTAGTAGATCGATCCGTTTGCATAGTCTGTTTGACATCACTAGTTGCAGTCTGTTCATTGTCTGGTGTGTTATGTTTTCTTTGCTCGTGTTCGTTGAGCTCTGGTGGAAACAAGCCATGGGCAGTGTAAATGGGAAGGGAGAATTCTTGAAATTCTGTTCTTTACAAGTCTGTGATGGGCACCGAGTGTACTGTTGAGCTTTGGTCCTTCATCTGTTGACAATGGCAAGCAGCAGTCAAAAAATCAGATGGTAGCAGGGCGTATGGTCAGCTGAGGAAAACCAGGGAAATAGTATGATGTTGTTGGTGTGGCAGGTGATGTGAGCAATAGTACTCGCAGGGAAAGGATGGGTAAAGTGTTACTTAACTGTTAAGATCAACTGTGGAACTTCAGCTAAAGTTTTTTGACACTAGTGCAGAATTAGGGTTGATGGAACAAGACCAGTTTTATTAGGACAGCTACAAGTCGTGTGAACATAGACGTAAGGGGACGGGGGGGGGGGGGGAAATCTGATTTGCTGTAGTTTTCCTTTCATTGTCCTTGACAATTCTGTGTTCCTCTTAAGTAAAAATCTCACGTGGTAAAAATGCCAAGTTACTCCTCTTAGATAAAGCAGCATAATTTTCTAGGCAAATACGTATGTAAAAATTCAAGGAGTAGAAACAGGTCATTGGGGTCTCACTTCCATCTTGTACAGCTGTTAGAAAAGCAAGGAACTATGAGATTGAGGTTGGGTCTGTACTTACCCAAGTTTGCCTCCTAAAGGGTAGGAGGATGGGGACTTAGTTTGGCTGCGGGGAAACTTTAGAGTAAGTCTTGATTTGTATTGTGATGGCAAGAATATTCCTGGAACTCTGAGTAAGAAAGGATCTAATCTCATTTTTGGACAAGTTTTTGGGTCGTAGAAAACGAAGAGCGTTTCTTCTGGGGGAAAAGCAACATTTGAATAGAGCTAATGTTCATTATGTTGGGGAATAATTCCAGAATCTGAAGGGCTGGAAGGAAATGCTTTCTAAATTTCCTTTTATAATTAGGAAACTGCATTGTTTTGCTGTTAACATTAATGTTGGCCCCGGAATGAGAGAGGCTAACTGGGGTAAGTTGTAAAACATACGGAGTTTTGTAGGTTGGCCTAAATGCCTAGGTGACCTGCTCTGTGAAGTTAGGTTCTCTCCTTGTAATCATGGTGTTTGAGATCAGCTATCAGAAAATGGCGAGGATTTTTCCTATGCCTCTTTCAGTTTCGTGCTGAAATCGCCAGGTTTTGATGACATATTTCGAGCAGTGAGCTGTTCCCTCCAGTTGATGATTCAACGATTTTGCCGATCTCAGGTTCTGAGCGTGTACAGTGATGGGTGGGCATGTCCTCCACGGGGGTTTGGGAAATGGGCTCTGAATCTTGTGCTGGCTTCATGCTAACCTCTTCTGTCTTTTACTTGCATTCCATTTTATTCTTATCCCAGTGCTGTTGTCAGGTAAACTAGAGTCTGGGAGTGGTATTCTGGTATAATAGTTCTCAGAATAGAAAATTCAGGAGTCTGCTTGTTTGAATACACTCCCTCTATCTTTCAACACCACCATCAGGCCTTTCATATGTGAAACTCGTGTTCTTTGCTGATGGGAGAGATCACAGTGGAAGCCTCGTGAATTCCCAGGCAGTCATACTTTCTGAGATGTAGACAGAGGATTTGCCAGGAGCTTCAGGAGTTGTTTTTTGGTGAGGAAGACCAATTATCTGTGGATACAGCATATGGGTTGTGACATGATGCTAGGCGAAATTGCACAAGAATGTCTCTGTTGGGTTTTGCTCAGGCTTAAATTGGTCTAAGAAAGTTAGATTCCATTATGTAAGCATGCTTGTCTCAGCAAGGCTCTGAGTAGGAATCAGGTGGATTCCATCCCAAAATTTGATAGTGTCACAGCAGAGGAACTAGACTTAGATTACTGTTGGTTGGTAAGTGACCAGAGTGGACCTGTTACTTGAGATTTTACTTTGGAAGAAATCTGTCTTATGCATGGTGAGGCATAACATTTATAAAGTTACTGCCTTTGTTAAAGTCAGTAACTTCACTTCATATGTGTATTTCGGTCACAATTTAATATATCCCAAATAAAATTGGAAATAATGGATTTGCATGGAAATAAATTGAGCAAGACTTAAGATTTTCTGAATCTTTTCAGAGTAACACCCACTCTAAAAAGCAGTGTGGAGTTGTCCAAAATGCTTTTTGCTCAGTTTCGTTCGTTTTCTGTTTATAGAAGAAATATGTAAATGGAGACCACAAATGCCTGCATGAAAGAAGAGGTTTCTTAGATCATCTTGTGAAGTGCCTTATTACTGGGATTTGCTGTATTATATTGAACTGATGGATTTAAGATAAGCAGGGAGGTGTTGTCTGGATCAGCTGCTTCAGTTATAGGTCATTATCTCGGCCTGGTTTCTTTTTTGCTGTTGATACAACTCGTGCTGCTGGTTTTACAGATGTACCCGCAGAAACTGGAATTCTGTTTCTGAATCTTGCACATTTGAACTGGTGATCTGACAATGCACTCCTAGGCAGTTTATAGCTCTGGGGGAGAAATCCAGTTAATTATAGGGGACTTACCTATTTTCTTCCTCAGCTAAATAAATCAGGGTTTTTTGTGTGTAGGTGGAGAGCAGACCATGCTGCAGCCAGAAGTCGTGGTCTGACTGCAGCATGCAGGTAGCAGAAAAACTGATGGAGCAAGATGATCTGTCAAGGTTAGATTTGTATAGAAAGGCTCCCAGGTGGTTGTATTAAGCTAAAAACTGCCTCTCCCCCCTCCACCTTACCCGAAAGCAAGAAGGACAGAAAAAGCAGTACCTTTAATATGGACCTGTAAATAGTAGTAGTAATTGTTAGGGTGAAACGCAGTTACTGGTTTTGAAAACATGAGTTATTTGAATGCTGGGAGATTTGTATTGTAAAATGGAGTTGAGGCTTTGCTTTTCGTGCCTGAAAGATGGCATCTGTTGGCACAGCGGCGTTCCGCCCCGAGGAGGGATCCCTTTGGTATTGGACAGAGGGAAGTGGTAATTTTAGCAGGCGATAAATTGCCCGTGTAAATGTCAAGAGAGAAGGGATGGAGAAATTACTGCTGCCTTGTGCTGTAATTTGGTTTACACAATTGGTTGTGTCCGCAACATGGGAAAGCCTGAGATTTAACAGGGAAATTGAGTGGTTTAGGATCCAGCTCATTCCTAAGGTTAAAAATTTTGCCGAGTCCCTAGTAGGTGCCGAGCTGATTTTCATAGCCCTTCCCTCATTAGGGCTCTGTTTGCTGTGCCAGGGTGGGGCGATGCTGCGAGGAGGAAAGGTTGCAGCTCCCAGGGGAGTGGGATGAGGCTGGAAATGCCAACTTTAATTGCATTCGGCGTTGGTGACTGCGATTGTGGCTACAGCAGGGAAAGTTGCTACAGTGCATTTCATAGCAGTAGCTGGAAGCACTAGAGGCAGCATGTTCAGCTGTAATATCAAGCCACCGTAGGGTTATTTGAGGACTCAGCTCCAGAATTAACTCTTAAATTGCCTACTCTGATCTCTTAATGGTAACACTTGCACGTTTTGCTTGTATATTCGGGCGTTTGGTATTTGATTACTCAACTTGGAGTTAACGTTGACAGGAGAAACCAAATGAAATGTAGATTCTGTAATTTATAAGCTATATAAAGCTGGAGCTCTTCATTTAGATATACTACGCTGCCTTAAGTGTAGGTTCTGGGTAAGGCAACCACCCCTGCGGTACATGCTGCTGCGGAAACTCGACGTGACCACGCACTCAGGATTAGAAGAGCAGGCTAAAAAGTGATAAATGCCAATTATGATTAACTTCCTGTAGCTCTCCTGAAGGTGACATTCAAGGGCGTATTTTAAAAACTGCTCAACTTGGTTCTCTATTCAATTCAAAATCGAAACAGCTTCTCTGTGGGATGTTCATAATGCACTTGAGCTCTGCGGATCCTGCATGACTCAAAATTGGTTGGTGTCATCTCAAATTACCCTAAATCAGAAGCTGCAGACATGAAGCACAGTACAAAAAACACGAAGCAGCCCTTGTCAGTCATGAATCTGTCTCCTTAAGGATTTGAGAGGTTCCCTTTTGTTTTCCAAGGTCTGTGAACAGCAGATCTGTTGTGAATTTAATAATGCAAGGAAAGAAAATGTGCTTCCTGAGTTGGGGGGGGGAGGGGGATGGTTCTTGCTTAAAATTTCTCTCTTTCAGTCCTGGCCGGGGCATTTGCATTCCAGTGTGGTTCTTGCACACCGATGACAGCTATCCTGTTAATGAGGGTATATGGGGTGAGGGGAAAAGGGAAGAACGTGGAGAAAATGCACGTTATATGTTGCCTAGCAGACCTCTTAACAAGATTTAAGATTATTAAGCTTACTGAGAACATATGAATATAGGCCATTAGAGGCTGTATGTAATTTTTGAGAAATAGGGAGTACAGTGGATGCACAATTGGGTTTTTTTTGGGGGGTGGGGGAAGTTGCTAGTATTGAACTTACAACAAGGAAGTAAACTGAGGCAGTTTTTGAGCCAAGTGCTGAAAGAGGCTTTCAGGTGCAGCTTTTCTCAAGACATGTCCTTGCCGCTTTCTTTTTTAGTTGCCACGTAATGAAGGCAGATGCAAATGAACTATATATAGGGTGGGGCATCCCTTGGCCCAAGTCGAGCTAATCCTGCGTGGTGGCTGGAAGTTGGACCTGGGTGCTGGCACTGGCATGCTGGAAGCCTGGCCACCAGCTCAGGGAATCGATCTGTTTGAGAAGTGAAGCAACCAACAGGGAAAGTTCTTTTATCATTCAGCTGGTCAGCTCTGCAAGTGCAGCCCTGACAGAGGGAACGGGGTCAGGAGCAGGGGCTGTTTGGGGAAGGGTGGAGTAGGCTCTTTGTGGCCGTGCAGGCTTTGCTTCAGTCAGACCTGTTATGAAACCACATCTGGTAAGTGTTTTCCTCACCACCCCAGATAAGCACGGATGCTTTTTTTGTAAACTTTTGACAGTGGGGCCTTTGGAACTGGAGTAGTTCTCTGACGGAAAAAGATAGCCTTGTGAAGGTGGTGAAATGTGTGTTAGGGAGCCACGAAGAAATCAAGTTTTTCAAGGTTCTTGTTTAAATAACCTTCTGTAGTCAAATCTAATCGTTTCATGTGCAATCGAGGGAAAGTAAAATGTTTGACCTGGGGTAAGTCTAAACCTTGTCCTGAAAGCCTTCAAATTCAGATGATGCCTCAAGTGGTACAATGTGGAATTTTCTGGAAACAGGTTGTATAAAGATGTTGCAGTGCATCAAAGCCAAAACTTCAGCCTATGATCACAGAATCATTTAGGTTGGAAAAAACCTCTAAGATAAAGACCAGCCATTAACCTACCACTGCCAAGTCCACCACTAAACCGTGTCCCTAAATGCCACATCTACTCATCTTTTAAATACCTCCAGGGATGGTGACTCAACTGCTTCCCTGAGCAGCCTATGCCAGTGCTGGACAACTTTTTCTGTGAAGAAATTTTTCCTGATATCCAATCTAAATCTCCCCTGGCACAACTTGAGGCTATTTTCTCTTGTTCCGAAGCTTGTTATTTGGGAGGAGAGACTGGCCCCAACCTTGCTATGACCTGTACAACAAAGTGCAAGGTTTTTGGAGTCACTGATTGCCTTCCTAGCTGGAAAAGCATTGGAAACAAATCTGAAGGCTCTGTTGCTTTTCAGCCTGGTCTTCAGTGTTTGCTAGGATACCCTACAAACTATTTCCTGCATATACTGGTTGACTCTTAAAGCTGATTGACTCCTCCTTTAGTTCTAAGTATTTATCGACACTATTGCAGCATAGAGATGTTCACAACTGCAGAATTGTTTAGATGCTCTGTTTCTTCCTCAGTTTACCATACGCACTTCGATTGCTGGACATGGATTAGATACAGCTGTGTGAAGAAGGATGTGGGATGAGACAATGTTGATAAAGGTAGTGGTGTAAACAGATGTTACAGGTTCTCAAAGTGCAGATTTTGGATTAGCAGGCACAATGTGCCAGTCAGGGTGAAGCAAAGACTAGCTTGAAGCTTGAGCCTT